CAAATGGGAGCTCTCCGTACCTCAGCTGAATGCTCTAGTGTTTAGATAGGCTGTGGCAATGCTATACCTTTTCCCCTTCCCAATTTTTACCACAAAAAGCACCTCAGACCTGTAAAACCTCCCTGATTAAACTTTAATCGAAGCCAAAACCAGTGAAATGTCTTCGTTAGACTGGAAAGTTCCCAACTATCTCCATTCACAAAGATGCCTTGCTGTAAAGGCTCCGGACAGGCAACACAGCAACCATCTCCTTTCTCCTGGTTCAAAGTGTTATTCCTTTAGCCTGACTTGGGCAGGCCTAAGTCTTCATTGTGGACACTTTTAAACCCCATGCCTGCCAAGAACTCTGTGCCTTTGTGCCTATGACCCTGACAAGACAAGTAAAGACTATAGGGATTTCTCCATTGATAATTAATACCGGAGAAGGGCTTGAAGATGCAGCCCTGAAAGAACAAGAACACAAGGTATCGCTGGGAAAGTGCAGTCACGGTGTCCCCATTATGACTCATTCCCCTGGAACAAGTTAGGCAACACACTGGAACGAACAATTAAACGTCTCGTTTATAAACACCTAGAGGATAATAATGCACTAAAGGGAAAAATAAGCAATGTACTTTTGGCAAGCAGATATCATGTCACCCCAGCCTCACTCCCTGTTTTGGTAGGATATCTGGCATAGCAGGTAATGCGGGAGCAACGTGTGTGATGATGTGATAGATCTTGACTTCAGAAGGGACGACAGTCTCTTGAACAAGCTGAGAGAATATGGTAGATGTTAAATCACCATCAGGATGCTTCAAAGCCCTGCAATCAAGGAATCGCTATCTGCCAGGGATGGAGGGTTTCGTGGGTTGCTACCACAGTCTGCTTTTGTGCCCTGAGCTCTTCAATACTTTAATTAACACCTTCATGATGGCACAGAGAGAAGGCACCTGACCTTTGTTGATGGCACCAAGTTGGGGGTGGTTGCGAGTGCTTTGGAGACCAGGATCACGAATAAACTGAAGAAGTGGTCTCCATGGAAAAATCAACCAGATGGGATCCAATAACAGCGAGCACAAAGTGCTACGCTCCAGAAGGGGTGAAAAAAAACAATTAATGCTCAAATACAGAAGTGGGGAATGAGCTGCAAGACTGTTCTGCAGACCGGTAACAGAGGGTTAGAAAGCAGCAGACAGACTAAATTAGTGAGAGCGATGAGGTGCTCGCTAAAAAAGGGTAAATCTCATCTTATTCTGGGGTTAGGTAAGTGAAGCATGATATGCAAAACATGGCTGGTACTTTTATCTGCACAACTGAGTCCTAAACTGAACTCTTCCTTCAGTTTTGGATAGTACACTTAAGGAAAAATGTAGATAAATCTGACTGTAGTGAAATATATATGACATAAGGGTTGGAAAATACGACCTGCAAGAGTTAGTAAGACTGTTAAGCTCGTCTAGAGAGGTCTCAGACACAGGGGTTAATGGGCTTCTAGCAAGTATAAGACAGTTTGGAGGAAGAGGAGGAGAAATTACCACCATGTGTCTTGGAAGGACCAGAAATAATTGGCAACAAAATCAATTTGGATCCTATGTTAATAAAAGCTTTCCAAGTGTAAGGAGACTGAAATAATGGCCACGCACTGGCTATGCAAGAACAGGGTGTCTTCAAAAAATACACATTAGGGGCAGCCACTGTATAGCTGATCTTGTCTCCCTGCATGGGGAAGGACCAGACCACCTCTGCTGAGTCCTTCCAGCTCTTTGCTCCTCTGACCAGACCCAGCAGAAATATCTGGGGTAGTAAATGGAGTTATCTGTACCCATTACACCCCAACCTAGGCAGCATGGCATGCTTCGAGCGAGGTGGCAGTTCGGAGCAGTCTCTTCGTGCATTAACCCCACTGCAGAGAGCGCAGTACCAGCATCCGGTAGCCACTGAGCTTGCGATTTTGGTTGTTTCGTTACCCCTCTTATAGACATGGGCAATATGCCCCAGCTGAGAATGATCCCATCAGCAGACACTTAGGCCAGAGAGGAAAGGAGCGGACCAAGTAGGCTGCCTATGCAGAGACTGGTGCTGGCTGACGAGACGGGACTGACTCTTCCCTTAGAAGTACTGAAGGACATGGGCACACACATTGGCGAGGTGATGTCCCTCTTTCTGTACATACTCCTGCAGCTCTGGCCAGCAGAGCTCACCCCAGGGAAAGCTGATTTTCTTGAGGGAGGACAGGTTCTGCTCCTAGAATGCAACTCCATTAGCCTGCAGTGATCTAAATGCAGTGAATCCTTAGGATACACCAAGCCCATCTAGACACTGAAGTGGTCTTCTCTAGTTATAGGGCTCCAGAACCACTCCAGTATATCCCAGCTGTTAGTCTCCGATATAGCCATCCCATTTGTTTCTGGGGGGTGACAGGGGCTAGGTTTTTCCAGTGGTTATATAGATGGAGTTGAACCAGGGGAGATTAAGGACCCTTGTTTGGCATACAGCACAGGGGGGAGCAGAAACACCAGCGACAGCACTAACTGGGCAGAATGGGAAGGCTGGGCACAGCCCTAAGGCAGCCCATTGCTTGCAGGGCATGAGCCACTGTCACCACAGGACCTTTCACTGGCCAACCCAGGCATCACCAGTGTGCACCAAGCTAGGAAGGAGTTGGATCCTGCTTGTTTCAGTTGCTCTGGGCTTGTTCGAAGGGAACCACTGACCATCATTGCAGAAATCCTCCGGCCAGATAACCACACAGACCAGTTGAGCACCCTGTTATTTAATTTTTCAGGATTTGTATTTTCTTTTCTTTATTTATTTTTACATTTGGGATGCCCAGAGCTTCATAAGCTGATGTTTTTAAACTTCTGAACACAAAACCAAGAGACGTAAATAAACTACATTAAATAAATAAAGCTAAAAAGCCGAGCATGACTCAATATCCAAACTCCTTTCATTTGTACTAGCAGTAAACTATTTTTCAGGCAGACAACCTGAAAATCTGAGAATAACAATAATCAATATGAGAAAATGATACTCTGAGAGGAAAGGGCTATTTTCTAACATATACTATTTTCTAATGAATTAGTTTTATTACTTAAGATTATTTAAAATAAAACATTTATTAGTTTTAAACTAACAAAACCATGGTTTAAAATGATGAGTCTAACTCTTCCAAATTATAGATTTTGCATTTATATTTTGCTTGGGTTTTGGGTTTGGTGGGGTTTTTTTGTTTTGTTTTGTTTGTTTGTTTGGGGTTTTTTTGGTGTGGGTTTTTTTTTTTCCCCAGATGAAATTTAGATTTAGAAAAATCAAAGATATGAGTTTCACTTAATTACAGGATTACATGACCTGGGGCTTTAAAAGTAAGCACGATAACACAAGGGGTCTTTTTCTAAATCTGTGGCAGGCATTAAACAAAGATTATCCACAGATACATTGTTTGCAGGCATCCGGAGTTCAGGTGTGCCAAAACATGAGTTTTCTCATCCTCAGAAAGGTGGCAGTAGTTCAGAGCTGGACACCCACGCTAAGTGAAAGCTAAGCTGGAGACCTCAACTCCAATGCTGTATCTAATAGTCACGAGTAAAATTAATAATACATGTGTGTGGCTCTAAAATTCATTGGCACCTGTATTGTCCTTGATAGGCAAACGGAAAGTGCAAGCTGTCAGATTTTACCAGCAGTAAACCACCTACAGCCGGTTGGCCATGCACCGCCACGGCAAGCAGCGGGGCAGGGTACCCTCCCAGTGCTGGCGAGTGCGTGCCACAGGGCTGCTGTGCCTGCTGGCCCCTGCCGCTCCTCACGCTGCCAGGGATGGATTTTGCCCAAGGAGACAAACCAGGAGCCTGTCTCACCTCACTCGCGTGTACGGCACCACCCCGGACCACACGCCCAGACCTCACCTTGCAGATAGACACTTGGTACACACGTTAGTGCCCAGCGTGCCAAGGAATACCAGCGAGAGGAAGAGTCCCTTCATGCATGTATTTATATCCAGAGCGATTCAAACACTTGTTGGGGGAAATAAAATCTGCAGCTTTTTGGTTTACTAGACAAATCAGGAGAAACAACACACTCCTGCCTGAATGATAATGTAGAAGCCCAACATATCTGTAGTATGTATCGAACACATCCGTACATACCTATCGACCTAAGCTGCTCCATAAATATTTTAGATAAATAGGCAGATTGACAGAATGGCGTGAAGATTAAAAGCAAAAGAAAACAAAACTGAGTAAACTCACTCGTTTGGTATTCTGGTCTGGACAGGATGGAGCAAGTAAGCTCCATAATGCCCTTAACAGCCATTGGTGAACTCCTTAATGTGTTTACTCTGTTATACCATGAATGCAGGCAGACAGACAGGACAATGCTAGTTCAGATCGCCAAGTTTTCAGTTCCCTATAACACACACAGGAGGAGGGTAGCTAAAAAAGGAGAGGGCAACATAAGGTATGCGGCAGCCACCTCAGGTACCAGTTTTCACACATGCCTACCGACAGCGCACCCTGCAAACCAATGACCCAGCACAGAAAAACAGCCCAGGAAAATTAATTCCCCAGCTTTGCAAAGAGTTGACAACAGAAGGCCAAAAAACACAGCACAGTAGCTTGTTGACACAAGAAAAAAGAAAGGAAACCTGAGGAAGGAGGAGGCGAAGAGACCAGAGGGCTGTCTGGCAAGAGATGAGGCAAGCACGATGTTCTGACAAGTGTCATAATAAACAAACGCTTTCCCCTTGGCGCCAGAACAACCACAGCCAGGAGCCAGGTTTGCATTGCGCTAGGATGTGTCTTGGCACCATCAGTGTCCCCAGCTCTGTCACTGCTTTGGAAAGGACAGACTGACGGCAGAGTAAAGCCATGCTGTGCTGCAGCAGAAGGGGACAGTCCTGCCGGCTCCTGCTGTAAGCCTAAGGGATACACAGGCTGCTGGCCCTGGGGCTGCTCTAGGAAAGATACAGATCCCTCCACCCTCCGTGTTTTTCGCTCTTTCTTCTCAGGCATGTTGCTTACCTTGCACGATCAAGTAAACCTGGGAAGTCTTGGGGTGATGCTGTGTCTGCACTGAACATGTATAGGACCCCTCATCGTAGACATCCACTTTCTGGATCCGCAGGCTGTATTCCAGGGGGTTTCTCTTCTCCAGCTCTACTCGAGGGTCCAGGGACCACTTGTCCTCTCCAGCAAAAATGATGCCAGAACGGTTTAACCAGGCCACCTTGGAGCTTCTGTCTTCTACATAACACCTGTAGAGGATGAGAAAGGTGAGAGGGAGATTAGAAAACCTCTCCATCATCTCAGTTTTGACCCTTGCCTTTACTACTTTGCTCACAAACTCCATAGCACACTCCTGCCTTGCCAGTGACTCCCAGCATCTCCTTGCCATTGCTGCACCATGGCCATGCATTTCACAATGACTTTCTGAAGAGTTTCAGGAATGCTTTGGTTCATGAATCCATGGGATTTGGGGTAGCCATGCCTCCTGTTCGCCCTTCCTTTTGTCTGTGGCCTACATCTGCACCACAAATTATTTTGGGAGGCCATAAGAGATCCTGGTCACCATCCCTTCTATCCTGGTCAATGGGAAAGGTCAGAAGGAGTTTTTCCCATGCCTCTCCCTCACCTTCACAAGTTAAATATACAAGAGAGTTAGTTCCCAGCCTTTTTCAAGCCCGGAGGGCAAAGGTTCAGGGCTCCAGCTTTGTCAGCTCAGGGCATAGCAGCTCCATTCAGCAGCACAAGTGGAGGGAGCTATAGTGTATCTCCCCTCTCCATCCGCTTGACGAAAAATGGCTTTATGGAAAGATGTTCACTCCTCAACACCAGCTCCCTAACACACACACACACCTCCTTGCCCATGCACATCTGCCCGCTTGCACAGGCAATGCCGATTTCAGGCTGCAAAGGAAAGGCTGCAGGGGTGTCGCTGTCATCCCTGTGACACACCCAGGATGTCCCGTGAACATCCCAGGTGAGACAGGAGAGGAGGAATGACAGCTAGGGGCCTCAGGCAGAGGAGCAGCAGGAGGACCAGCAACTGCCACATCCGCGACTGCCGACCACTGCAAGGCAGGAGACAGACTAACCCTGCTGCAGCTGCACAACACGCAGTTTGCTCCTTGACGGAGGGCGGTGAGGGTGCTGCTAAGACAAACGCATCCGTACCACTTTTGCCAGAAAGTGGTTTGCACAGCAGAGATGAGGAGAAGCCAAGGAGGAGGCACATCCTCAGCTCTGTCTCATTTGAGGGGTCCAGGGCTGAAGAAGACACAGGGACATAACCTCTCTTACACCCTGGCAGCCGTACCCCCCAGGGCCAGGCTCAGCCAGGCTGAGAGGGTTTGCCCTGCAGTGCTCACGCCATGTTTGCTCTGCAGATAAATAGGGAAGCTCAGTCTCTTGGAGCTGTGGCCCCTTCAGCCCTCAGAGCTCTGCCCACAGCCTCCTGGCATCCAAATAACCCAGCACCTCTCCCCAGCACACTGCTGTTGTAGTGTTGTATTTGAGAGAACAAAGAGAGAGGATGAAGATTATTGCTTCAAGATAAGACAAATATTTGACAGTAGGCTTTCATACAGCCTTTCAGCACGGGCCAGACATTTTCCGAGTTGCCCTATCTGAATGCATTTCATTCATGCTGCGCTGCAGCTGCCATCCCTTGCGACGTGACCCCACCATTTCATCCGGCACCTCTCACCCCCTCCTTTTCAGCACTTTCTGGGGTTACCCATGGGCAGGAGGAAAGCCAGGCATGGATAGGAGGCATGCCATGATGCCAGCCGAGCTAGAAGCAGCTCTGCCTGATGTGACAAATATTTGCTTTAGAGAGCAGCCCAACAGGCTGGAGAGGTGGGCCTGTGCCACCCTCATGGAGTTCAACAAGGCCAAGTGCAAGGTCCTGCACCTGGGTTGGGGCAATCCCAAGCACAAGGACAGGCTGGGTGGAGAGTGGATCGAGAGCAGCCCTGAGGAGAAGGACTTGGGGGTACTGGTGGATGAAAAGCTGGACATGAACCAGCAGTGTGCGCTGGCAGCCCAGAAAGCCAACTGTATCCTGGGCTGTATCAGAAGAGCAGGTTGAGGGAGGGGATTCTGCCCCTCTAATCTGGTGAGACCCCACCTGGAGTGCTGCATCCAGCTGTGGGGGCACAAACATCAGAAGGAACACAGACCTTTGGAGCAAGTCCAGAGGAGGCTATGAAGATGATCAGAGGGCTGAATCAGCTCTCCTATGAAGAAAGGCTGA